AGGACTTCATCATCTATATTTATCAGAGATATTGGCCTATAATTTTCTTTCTTTGTTGTGCCTTTACCTGGTTGTGGAATTTGGATAATACTGGCCTTGTAAAAAGAGCTTGGGAGTCTCCCCTTTTCTTGAATTCTTTGGGATAGTTTGAGAAAGATAGGTATAAGTTCTTCTTTGAATGTTTGGTAAAATTCACTTGTGAAGTCATCCTACCTTTTGCAAAAGCATGGATGGAACTGGAGACTATTATGCTAAGTGACATAAGCCAGTCAGTGAAAGACAAAAATACCATATAACCTCACTTATAACCTGAATTTAATTAATAAAATAACTAATGAAAAAAATAGAACCTGAGACATGGAAAAGACTGATAGCTGTAGGAGGGAGAGGGCGAATGGTGGAAGAAGGGGGAAGGGACTAGTCAAAGATCATGTATGAATGACTCATGGACATGGGCAACAGGGAGGGAATTGACTGTGGGCAAGAGAAGTTGGGTGGGTGGAAGATGGCAAAAGGGAAAGAAAAAGACATTGGGACAACTGTAATAGAATAACCAACTTTTTTTTAATGTAAAATATAAAGAAATTTAAAAAATTAAAAAAAAAGAATGGGAGTTCTTTATGCACCAGTTCTGAAACATGAAACCATATGTAACAATGATAATGGCTAACACTATAATAAGAATGTATCATACCATGGTTCTCAGTTCTTTGTACATCATAAGTCATTTAATTATAACAACCCATGTAGTCTTACCCTGTGGGGCAAGTTCTGTTAACATTCTCATTGTACCTATGAAGAATCAGAAGCAGAGAAGTGACATAGATTATACAACTAGTCCAAGATCATACAACTAGTAAGTAGTGGACCCAAGATTAAATGATGCAACGATAATTATGTGATAGATAACTGTATAGATAGATTGGTGCGTAGACAGAGTGAGTGAGATATTATGTTCACCAAAATAATTGTTGTTTTGGGAGGGATTTCCAAAATTTTGCATGACTCAGGCACAGATATAAGCATTGAGTGTTAATTTCTGTAAGAATCATGTGGATTAGAAACATTCTTAGGTTGTATAGCTTGCAGGATTTTCATTGCAACATTGATTTTGAGAGCCCTGATTTAGAAACAATCAAAAATCTTTTAAGAGTGACATGATTAAATAAACTCTGATACAAGCACTATTGAATATATTGCATCAGAGGTTACCAAGAATGAGGTCACCAGTTTGAAAGATAGTGGAGATTTTCTGTTAAAAAACAATAGATAAAGCCAAGTATATATGGCATTCTGAACAAGGCAAAACTATAGGGACAATAAAAAGATTGATGGTTGCTAGAGGGAGGGATGAATAGGCAGGACAGAGGATTCTTTGGGCAGTGAAAATACTCCATATCATATTATAACAATGGATATATGTCCATTACACATTGTCCAAACCTACAGAATGTACGACACCAGGAAAGAACCCTAAGGTAACTTATGGACTTTGGGTGATTATAATGTGTCAATGTGGGTTCATCTTTGGTAACAAATGTACCATTCTGGTAAGTGATTTTATTAATGGGGAAGGTTATGCATGAGTGGAGAGGAGTACATAGGAAATCTGTAACGTCCTCTCAATTTTTTTATGAACCTAAAACTACTCTTAAAAAGTCTTTAAAAATACATCAATCTCATCAACTGTATAGTTAAAAACCCATAACAAAAATATATTCTCCAAATGGGACTATATATGGAAGACAAGGTTGGAAGCACATGTACCTTGTTGATATCTATGTCAGGGTAAGCTATCTCAAAAGGATTAAGTGATGAAAGGAAAATTTGAGCCTTATTTGTGACTTGATTATTTTAAATAATAAATATATATTAATTACATAATATAAAACATTCTAAACAATTAATTCCAATTAATTTTTCTTTTGGTTTTGAATAATAAGTTTTTCCAAGAGGCCTTATTTTACATTTCATCTATTAGGCAAGAGATAGTGCCTACTGAAGTTGACAATAAGTACACAATATTTTCATTTTAATGACTTCTTTGAAAGACTTGTGCTAAGAAATCATGTTAGTTTCAGTCAGGGCCATCAATGACTGGATTTGCCTTCAAAGGTCTCTAGTATGGAACACACAATAAGTAATCTTTCCAAGCAGTTCTGCAGGGAACCTGGACTTACCATTTGCCCTCTTAGTTTTTCAAAATTCTTAATGCTCTCTTGTCAGCAGTGATATAGGACAGAATCTCTCTCTCAGTAGGTTCTTTAAAGTTTTACCATCCCAGTGCCTTTGTATCTTAAAGAGTGGCCAACCTAAGATTTATCTATAGTTTCCATTTTCCCCCACACCCAAATTCAAATAAATATCCATTGCTGCCCCATCATGAAGCAGCTATTTCTCCCATAACATGTCTGCTTCATCTTCTTGCCAGAAAACTGAGAGCAACAAAGGACAGTTTTTGCAGAAAACCTGGGAGCTGTCGTTCAGTATATATTCACCTAAAGGAGGACGTTAGTTTTTCCCATACGGTCAACACATTAACTTGAATAACAAGTATTTTGGGGCTTTCTGTTTTATGCTAGACATGGTTCTAGGCTCTCCCATAGGAATATAAAAGAAAAAAGATGTATTGAGATGTTGGGAGGCAAGAAACGTTGAAGTAAGAAAAAAATGGGGTAAAGACAGAATAACCTGGATTTTAATTCCCCTGCACTAATTCAGACTTTCAACATTTGATTATTTGACTTGCAGAAAAAAGAAATGCAATCAGGCAAACATCTACTAAAACTCAGTCCTCCCTTTTTTCTTAGTCTTAGAGTCTTTGCACAGTATTTTATTGTAAAAGCCCAGTACTGTTACAGCATTTATTATTTATATTTGGATAATTTTAAAATTTCGCTGGCATTTCAAGTCTCTGAAGTATCAAATTTTGTGTTTATACTAGCATTCCCTTTCCTTAAAGCCCTGTCTTTTAGGCCAAATTCTATGAGACTTTTTCCCCGTCTGCTTGATTACTACCTATTGAAAGGTTAAGTCTCATAGACACAAACCAGCTACTTTCTTCCTTTTTATTATCAAAATATGAACTCGCTCCAAAACCATCTACCACATATTTCACAGAAATGGTTGCCAATGACAAACTTTTTAAAAAGAAAATATTGGTCTATATTAGAATAATTTTGTACTCTAAATGGTGTTAGGAAACTGGTGAAAAGTTACGTGATTTCTGCTCCATATGTTTTATTCATCTCTAGTTATAGAAGTACATTTGTTACTTGTGGTCAGGAAGAGAAGATAAATAGAGTTCACCAATAGGGAAAAGGACTTTGATGATTTCAGTCTCTAGAACGCCCCTGTCAGAGTCGTTATGAGTTCCAATAATAAGTATGCGACTTGTGCTTTTCCCTTTGTAATTTTCTCAAAAAAATATTTACTATCCTATTCAAGGCTTAACAAACCTTTTTCTTAATGCAGTCTGCTACATTAAATTAAAAACATTTCAGCCAATTTCAGACCATTCTACATGAAAAGAAAAATATACAACTTTGACAGGCTAGTATTTATAAGGAAGGAAAGGTCTTAGAAAGTTATTTTTCTCCATCTTTCATATTAGCCAATTACAATTTTTGCCAAACTAAATATAAAGATCTTGTGAAGATCTTCATAAAATAGTTTGGTAATAAGACACTACTATCATGCTTTATTTTCAAGTGAAAAAGATGTTTAAACTTCTTTGTTGGAAAATTATTTTACAACATCACTTTATAATTCAGTATAATGTATTTCTGTATAGAAACATCCCCTGTGCTTCTGTTGCTAAATACACCCAATAGATTTTTTTCCAACATGATTCTCCATGAAGTTTCCAATGAATTTCACTTAGTATTTTTTGCTGAGAGCCCCAGACTTAAAACAAACAAACAAACAAATAATTTATGTGTTCTTATGAGTTATCAGTTTCAAATGACTTAGGGAAAAAGTGAAGATTTCAGGAGTCATGGCAAACACTGTCTGAATGTGTCTTTTTGAGAGAATGAGGCATTCTAATTTGCTGAAAAAACGTGTGCAGGGATTATGTCTGTTTTATTCGCCAGCTCATCTTTTGTGCTTCACATGCGGTGGCCATTAACATAGAAGGATATACATTTTACAAATGAACCCACATGTTAAAAACTAAGTTGAGATGTTCCAGGGTAAGTCTTCGCCTTCAAATAGACTTACTTTTTATATATCAAGATAAGTTCTTGGAATAAAATAGCCATCATTTTTATCTAAAAACAGCTTATGAAAATCTCTCTGTAGCCTGGACCAAATGAGGCACTTATTGGCCTAAATAATATGATGAAATCACTTCAGATTTTGGCAGTTAGACACAGTTAGATCAACTGTACCTTTATCTCCCTTCTACCAAACAATGGATTAAATTGCAAGCTCATTGGGGTCAATTGTGCATTTCTAATATTTCATTGTTAGAGTTTACATATATGTGTGTGTACATACACACACTTAAAGCAGATTATCTAGATAATAGCCCTCCAAATAATTAATGGAAATATGTTAATTTCTGCTTCTAATGTCAGAAAAAATTTAAGCTGCCTATTCACATGTATTGTTTTAAGTACTAAAGAAATATTTTCACGTTGAATTTACCTGGTTACCTCTCCATATTTGAGGGGCTCTGGGGAAGTCAGCTCAGCAAGTTGCGCAATTCGTTTTTGGCTAGACTTTGTTGATGTAGCCATTTCATAATTTTATTACTGCCAGCTTGATTTTAATTTGAACTGAATCTTTCAACATATGAAGGCAAGCCATACTTATTTTAAAATGAATTACTGAGTGATTCACTGATGAAACATTCTGGGGATGCTAGAAGCATTGCTGCATGATTTAATAAACCAAATAAAGGTATATCCAGAGGATAAATTTATTGTGGCTACTTGATTTGCAACATGTGACCCCATAACTCTCTGTGCGCAAATTCTGCTCTGGTTTTAACTTACCTCCAACACTGGACATTCTGGAGGAGTCCTGATGAGAGCTGGATTTACTGCGGTTTTGGTTTTTTCGTTTGTTGGCTGCTCTCACAGATCGAAGAAGTACCTCACTTGCCTTGAAGAAAGCCACCATGAATGGTTGCTTTGACTGCGGCCCATGTCTCCCCACAAGACCAGCAGATTTTACATTGATGCTGCGTCCTAGGAGAAAATGAACAGGCACTTGGTTTATGAAAAAAGATGTTTACCTGATATGAATGAATTCTGAGGGTACCTTGAGAAAAAAGTTTTAGAACGTTATCTGCATGTTTTCTTTGTTATAAAGAAATGTTATTTAAAAAGTTATAACATTCTGTTATAAGGCCAAATAGTCTTATAAACATTGAGAGTTTACTATTACAGACAATTATCCACGCTTGGATTTTCATTTTGCATCATTCTTCCACCACAGAACACCCTCGGGCTGCCTCCGCTAACACATATTCTCAGACCTGGAAGTCGGCAATGCTATCCGTGGGAAGGCTTCACTACCATCAGCCTGGAAACGTCCACATTAAGTAACAATTTCAAAATATTAGCTATGGGCTCTTTTGCATTAAATTCCCTATAATTTTCCTTTAAGCGATAAAAGCTGAATGGCTGGCTGGATGTTTCTACTTTCTCCAGCTTCTTTCAAGCCTTTTAAGCATTAATTAGTGCTGATGGCCTCCCCCATCACCTCTGGCCTGTGGCCAGCAGACTTTACAAAGCTGTGCTCTCCTTCAAGCTCTTCAAAGGTCATTCCCGAAGCGCCTGCTGGGGACAGAGCCTTGTTTTAAATGCCAGTATTTTCTCAATGTGAAATAGTTTGAAATAAACATGAAAATTTCAGAATTTCCCCTTCAGAGTTTTGACATAACTGAATGTTTACTGAAAGGATCTCAGAAGAAGCAAACCAAGCCTGGAGACTTTCAGAAAGGAGAAAAATGCCAGGTGGGCTTGAAGACTGACCTTTGTGCCTCAACCCGCCTGCATCCCAGACCTTTCTGAACCAAACGGTGTGGTCGCATATGGGAGAAGGAGGGCCTATACAGGAGTAAGTTAGAAGTCAAGGTGTCCTAGAGACCAGAAGTAGATCTTAATGAAGTACCTTTCCCATTGGGCTGGTAATGATATTTGTAATTATAATAATGCCAAGTGTTTTGGAGCACTTGCTATGCGTGTGCTAGGCATTTTACTGCTTTGCATGCATTATTTGATTCTACAAAGAGGGGTTGCATATTATTATTTCCCTTTTTTAAAATCCACTCTTGTTATCTGCTCTAGTTTAAAGTAATCACTAAAAATATATGTAATATAAACATATAATATATCAATACTATAATACATATGAAGAAAACCATTGGCTGATATCTAGTCCATAAAAATCACCCAAGGAGAATGAACTCTGTAATCTTACGTTGTAAATTTAGTTGAGAACTATTCAAAACTCATGCAAATTTTCTACTCGACATGCAGAAATTAGCAATCTTTGAAGAGTAATATATAATGTGGTTTGGAATATGTGCATGATTGACTCTGCTTTGCCCCATGGGGGATGTGCATGTTTTCTTAAAATATTTATTCAGTAAAGAGTGTGGAGCAACCTCAGTCCATTATAAGGTCTGACCCACCTTAGAAAAAAGAAAAGGAAAACAAGTCCCTGAAAAGGCATCAATGGCATTTTAGCAAGTAAACTCTTGCTCTTAACAAAATTTATTTTGGCAGCATAAACACTTTTGTGTATACTTGTATTGTGCAGAGACCTTCTACCGTCGGAAAATGAGACCGTGTCATATGAGGCTGTGCAGCTGTCGAGACAGACACAGAGGTCCTTTAAATCTGGAGGTATTGATTTAAAAATAAAAGCATTCACCAATCCGGGCAGCATCAGGGTCCTCAACAATTACTCTACAACATGTTGGCAAAAACCGTTCAGTTCCTACAAGTATTAAAATGGCATCCCACCTCACAAATGCCACTACACGCAATCCTACTGAAGAATGAACCTACAAATAATCAAAGCAGTAAACCTTAAACAAATAAGCATATAGTTTTCTCTTTTAAATGCAAACTTACAGTGGCTTTATGCCAGAGTCTATATTTCTTAGAAAAACTCTATCACTGGCATAAATGAAAGAGGCAGTTTGATTTGTGGTCAGAGCAGTTTCCATTCTACTTCCACTGTAACAAATGTATTAATTCAGCTCAGACTTCCTCCTTCTGGCAGCCCTTTTGCTGTAAAAAGAGAAATTAGAAGTTCCAGCCAAATACCATACCTTGAACTGACCCACTTCAATACATAAACACTTTTACAACATGTTTATTCAGGTGTAGCACTTGAAATTGGTTTAAGATGTTTCCAGTGACAGAGAGCGCGGCAAAAGAAAAAAAAAAAGAACTGAGAAACTTAACTGTTATGGAATAGAATAACTGGCAATCTGTTCTTCAAATTTCTGATTTCTTTCCCTGTCTTGGAGTACAACATAAAAAGTATTTGTTGAGATTTTATTTTGATTTTTTAATGAAGTGTTAATTTAACAGAAACTAAATTTTTACTTGTATACACTGATGACTGCAGAAATCATTTTTAATATATGATCTTTCTAATACTGAAGTAGGTTGCTGCAAGATGTTCACAAATGGAATGCAGTAAAATTGGTTTTCCATTCATTACAACACACACAGACTCTTTTATAGTTAAATAAGCACTTAACACAAAGTTCCAAGTTTCCTTTGGTTTTCTAGAGGGTTTCTTTTATTATTATTCTAAAGACTTTCAATATTTTAATTTTTATCTGTAGAGAAATAATACCGCTCTAAAGATTTATGTTCTGAAAACTGTAGGGATGTGTGTATGTTACAAATAGGGGTTTCGTGGGCTTTACAAAGGTGGATATTGTGTGTGAAGCAAAGTACCCTTCACACCAATGTGAACTCCCTTTAAAATAACTTTTGATATTATTAAGTTTCCTCTTGGTTTCCTTTTTACTTCAGCAATGAGGTGACTATTAAGATTCCATAAGTTAATACTTGCTCAGTTACTCTTGGTCTTGAGCTACACCGTGGCTTAACTATTTGACCTAGCCCTTCAGACACAATATACCTACATTGATTATGTAGACTAAACCTTTTAAATGGCTGAACACTTGCTTTTGTTAGAAGCGCTAATGGAAACCCAGACTGCATTACATGTATTGAAAACAGAGAATCTTTTATCAAATGTAGTTGAACATGTTGAATTTTATTATTAAATGTACAGTATGTTTTAGATATTGCAAATATATAAATGAAGAAGCCTACCTTAAACATTTTGATCTAGGAAAACTATATGGAGTTGTATATCACCATGGATTTACTTTTAAGAGCTGATCCTTATTTTTGGTTTCTAGTTTAAAATGCACATAATAATAGATAGATGATAGATGATAGATAGATGATAGATAGGTAGATAATATGTAAAGATTAAACATTGACTATACAATGAAAATAAAAATGGGAAGAGATAATAAAAAGAGTATTACATTAAAAGGTTGGGGAAAACACCAGTTTGATCCCAAGCTTAGTCACCTTAGGATACAGACATACGTAGGCATAGCCAAAACACTGGTAGGCTTAATTCACTAGGCAAATATTTGAATGAGGACAGAGCAACCTCATGGGAAAGTCATCCCAAGGAAAAGGTGAATCCTTAATTCATAGATTCAGAACAGTGCCCCAGTGGGTATAAGGAATCCGTGGTTTTACGTCTGTAGCTCAGAGTTCCTTCCTGTGCAGCTCCAATAAGTTTGCATGACTAACTCCTAAAGAACATAGAGAATTCAAGAAAACCTAATAGAACTGCTTTTACCAGAAGTCCCTGTAAAATACTGGGAAAACAAGGCATCACTACTTGGAGCTTGGATAATAATGTGACACAAATGGTGAAACAAAGGTTCTCCCCATGTCAGAAGAGAGGCCTGCCAGCTTCTCCACGTTGGTACAGGATGAGAGAATGCGGGTCCAAGATTATCTCCTGCACCATAGCCAGCATTTGCACGAGCTTCGGAGAGGGGCAGCAGTTCAAAGGTGAGAAGAACATTGGGGCTTTTAAGGTGCACCAACGACGGTACCACAGTGAGAGACAGTGCCAGTGACGGCATGAAGTGGATGTTAGATCAAGAGGACACTTCTGCTGCATAGTATCCATGCCTTAATGTCGTACAGTAGGCAGATGACAGGGAGGTGATTTGTTCAATGGGTAGGATGATAACAAGAGCAGGGGAAGAATTTGGCTGCTGGAAGTTGTTCCAGCTTAAGTACAATTGGGGTCTTCCACACAAATGGGAGGAGGGAGGAGAAAGGAAAGTTTCTTTGAAGAATATACCAGAAATCCAGTGATTTCACTGATGGCAGCTAGACCCAAAGAAACATTGTTTGTGCCCAATTATCCCAGGTTTGTGTATCACAGAATTCTTGGATTATAAGCTGAAAGGGGTAATAGTAACAAAAATGGAAGTCCAGATTTTGGTATTGGCAGAGGTATTTGTCTTTGTATTTATTACAAAGAACACTTCTTAAATATTTGCATGTAAAAAACTTTTAGGACTACTTCATATCTTGGCCATCTTATTTTCTCTCAAAATGATCATGCAAGAACCAAAGGAAGAAAAACAATTTGAACAGCAAATATTTGGTCTTATAATTTCTCAGTTGTATTAGCTACAGAGTGAATGAAGACAGAGCTAGGATGATATCTTCTAAAAAGAAAGAATGATTCTCTTCACACAGCAAAGAAGACGGAAGCATGTAATGCTGGGGTTCATACCTACCAAATGTCATAACTGAAGCTGGAGACTCAAGACTTCAGATCTACTACTCTGACCCTTACAATTTTGTTTAAGCACTGGGGTCAGAGAATTGTATTTGCATCTGCCTAAGGACACACTCTTTCACATTTTAGAGTCATAGAGAAAGTAAGCTGGCCAACCAAAGATCCATCCCAAACTCACTGGTTTTGTATTTCAGACCATTCTTTTTGGAAAATGTGACTTTCAAAATGTTTATTTCTTTAAAAACAGGGTTATTAAAGGAGACTCTGACATAAAACAGCTCTTTAGAGACATGTTGATGTTACAAGGATAAGTGGTTCCAAATAGGAGCATTTAGTTTCCCTCCAGAATATACAGTTTGGAAAACATTCA